TTTTTACCCTGAAAGAATTCTGAAATAATTGCATAAGAGTTGCAAAAGATATGAAAACTTCACAACACAATTCACTTCTCACCTACATAATCCACATTTTACAACATTTATAACAGCAGCAAAATGGTAGGATAGCAGCTGGGTTGCATGTATAAAAAGTCTTATCACTGCAAAGTGCAGTGCATTGTGCAGCGCACGAAGTTAAAACATTTTTTTTCCACAATCACGATCTCTTGTGGAAACCAGTTGAGAAAGGCTGTACTAAAGCACTTCTAATAAATAACCATCCACTTTGTGTTTGCAGACCTAGTTAAGGAGAACTCACAGCCTCAGGTGGCAGCATGTTCCACTGGCTGACAGCCAGGAATTTCCTCCTGCTGCCTAGCCTGAACCTTCTGCCTTGCACTTTTTCTGCTTCTACTCTCTTTCTCCTATGTATCACTCCTACTGTGGGACAACACTACATATATCTGAAGAATGCTATCATATCCCACTTTAGTCTTCTCTGGCTAAATATACTGAATTCCTTCAACTTCTCTTAATAGGAATTAATTTCTTAATTTCAGACTAAACCAGTATTAGCTGGGTTCAGTGTGAGATATTTAACACTTCAGATTTTTCCGCCTACTGGTGATGTTGTTAGAAAACTCTCCTTCTCAACAGAAACATATGGTATATAAGATTTGCTCTTGCATGACAAATACTAGCATATAAGCAGTTCTGAGAGCTGCAGGCTACAAAGTACCTGCTATGTGGTAAGCTAGTAATGATTAGGCTACGTTCTGATTCAGTCAGGTGATAGCAGCACTGCTGCACCTCCTGTTTCAGAAACTGATAACAGGGCTAATAATATAAAATATGTATACGTTACTTTCTCTAAGAAACAGTAATTAAATGTAAGTAATAGAATCTACAATGGCAGAAAGTGAAGAAGAACTAAAGAGCCTCTTGATGAGGGTGAAAGAGGAGAGTGCAAAAGCTGGCTTGAAACTCAACATTAAAAAAACTAAGATCATGGCATCTGGACCCATCAATTCCTGGCAAATAGGAGGGGTAGAAATGGAAGCAATAACAGACTTCATTTATTTGAGTTCCAAGATCACCGCAGATGGAGACTGTAGCCATGAAATTAAAAGACACTTGCTCCTTTGGAGGAAAGCTATGGCAAACCTAGACAGCATATTAAAAAGCAGAGACATCACCTTGCCGACAAAGATCCGCATAGCCAAAGCTATG